GGGGGGGGCGGGGGCTGCTTGGGGATCTGACCATGACTCAGAGGTGTAAAGACCAGGGTAAGGGCTCATCCTCTCTGGGGGAAAATTTGGAAGTAAAATGAGACCCAAAACTCAATGTCAAGGAAATTGTGGAAGAAAAAAAAGATAGTGTTGCCAATTGCCAAACTATAGAACAATCATATTTATCAGAAAGAAAAAGTAACATCTCTGTATACACACATGTACTGTATAAATAGCATAATATGTATAAATATATAAGTAATATACAAATATACTAGTATGTGTAAATATATTAATATACTTAATATAGATTTTAAATATAAATATTTAATATAAATTAAATACTTACTATAAATATATTAATATATGTATTTACATGTAAGTATATCTAAATACATAAATATATATAAAGAGTAATATATATGTGTTATATAACACACATGCTTCTATAAATCTTAATATTTTTTGAAAGCATATATATATATGATTATTAATAGTGGTTACCCCTCAGGTGGGGAGACGGGAGAGAAATTCTTTTACTTTTATATTCCATATCTTTCTGTACTGCTACTTTTTTACTTTGTGTGTATTGTTTTTATGATAGAAAAAGACAGGGACACCTGGGTTACTCAGTCGGTTGAGCGTCCAACGCTTGATCTCGGCTCAGGTCGTGATCTCAGGGTCGTGAGATCGAGCCCCGTGTAGGACCTGAAGGACTCGTTCTGAGTTGTTCGTGCTGTGTGTGTGTGTGTGTGTGCGTGTGTGTGCGTGCGTGCAAATACCACCCCACTTCTCCCAACATGATTTCCCAACATGATTCCAAGGCATGTTGCTTGCCCTAATTCCCTAGCACAAGAAGAAGAAAGTGTTGCAATCCGCTGTGCAGGATGTGTCTGAGCTTGGGACCCTGAGTGCCTGTCCCGGAGTAGTGACAGCTGTTAGCTGGGTCCTGGCGATGGGAAAATTGCAGTCTAGAGGGCCTGCTGGTCACCGGGCAGAGAGCCAGAGGCAAGATGGACACAGTCAGGAGCTTTCTGTGATAGTTTCCAGACTCGCCGCCAAGTATTCTGTGTTTGGGCTATACGTGATTCCAAGGGGAAGTAGTTGTTGCTAGGAATTCTGACTCGATTGCCAACTAATATCCACCCTTGCTGGAAAAAAGATTTCTTTGGCCCCTTGGCATCCTTTTCAACTACTGTTATTGTTAATAAAGTAGTCGTTTTCAATTTGGATGGCACTTTTTAGTCTTTGATATATCTTTATTATCATCTTAATCTTCACATGACCTAGGGAGACTGAGTAAGTAGAGAAACTAAGGAAGGCTAAGTAAGTTCCCCAATGCCAATTTCTCAAGAGTGGTCAGCAAACTGCTTGTTGCCCATCGGTAATCGTATAGATACAGAAATGGAGGCCAAGTTTTAAGACGCTTTTAGAACGATTTGACAGAATGATTTTATGTCTGTTGAATCTGATAATAAAAAAGGGTTTCGGTTTTTATAGATTTTTTATTATATTTTACAAAAGCATCAGTTTGTGACAGATTGAAAATTAAAATAGATAAACGTACCGACGAAACTAGCCAACAAAACAGGTCCTTCCTCATAGACGTTTTGAAAAGCACCATCCTAGGTAGTAAGTCAAGGGGCACGTCCTCAAGCCTGGGTTTTCCTACTGCAAATCCAGAACTCTCCCTATAATAGTACAGCTGTTTGGGCGCCTGGGTGGCTCAGTTGGTTAAGCGACTGCCTTCGGCTCAGGTCATGATCCTGGAGTCCC